TAAGTCTCCATTTGGTATCATTTTCCTTTAGTTTACAGAACTTCTTTTATTATTTCTTTGTAGCACAAATCTACTTGTAAATTCTTCCAACTTTTGTTTATCTGAAAAGATATCTTCAATTTCTTTCCATTTTTTTTGAAAGCTGGTTTTAGTGTATATATAGAGACTTCTTGGGCTTTTTTTTCCCTGTCATTTTTAATTGTATACTGGATATTGTAAACATTAACATGTTTAGGGTTTCTAGATTTAGTTGTTTAAGTTTGTTGAATTTTATTTTGGTAGGGAGTTAAATTACTTGCCTGTCAGCTTGATTTACACAATTTAACTTAATTAAAAATTTAATTCATATAATTATATATTTGTATTCTAAATAATAATGAATTAAACAGAGATATCCCTTTGCCTAGTTTCCTTCAATGGTAACATTTTGCAAAAAATTTTGTTACAATATCCCAATCAGGATATTAATATTGACATACTCCATATATCTTATTCTGATTTCACTAGTTTCTGTATAAGAGTACAGATTTTTCTAGTACTCATGTTTGCATGTGTATTTGGTTCTGTACAATTCCATCACATGTGCAGGGTCATGTATCTGCCACCAAAGTCAAGATACTGAACATTTCATTACCAGAAGTGCCTCTTGCATTTTTTTATAGCCAGACCTATTTTCTCTTTCTCCCCCACCTTTAAGTCCTGGCAACCCCAAATCTGTTCTCCATTGCCAAAATATCACCTCAAAAATGTTACATGATGGAATTATACAGTTTATGACCTTGGGAGTGACTTTTTCCACTCTTCAGAATTCCCTGGAGATTCTTTCAAGTTGTCGCATGTATGGTTCTTTTTACAATGCTCCCATTGTGTGCTACTCACTTCAAAGAATATCACTCTGCAATGAGGAGCCTAGTATTCATCCAAAGCCTCAAGAGGAACTACAAGTTCATTTCTGAAGCTCTTTCATTGTGTAGCTTCCTCCTCTCTGGCAGTCAGCCTGACACTTGTTAGCTGCCTTGTTAGCTGCCCTAGCGTCAGCACTTGATTTATGAACAAAACACTGCCTGGTCCCACACCATCCCCTCTACGGGTTGTGATCCACAATATTTAATTGTGATCTACAGGGTTTTTCCATTGACTGATTTTCAGAAGTAGATCACCAAGCCTTTCTTCCTAGTCTGCCTTAGTGTTGGACACTGCTCAAAGCTGTTCAGTAACAGAAAGCAAGCTTCCAAGCTGCTCTCCGCTCTCACGACTCTGATCTTTCTGCCCTGCTTTGCCACTTCTGGCTGCTTTACTTGGCCTTTCCCCTTCTGTGTTGTGATCTGGAAGGTGCCTCCAGCAGGAAGCTGGAGTGCTTGTAGGCCTCCGCTCTTCTTCCTCCCCTCTTCTCTTAGGGATCAGAGCCTCAGCCACGGTCTGAAATCATTTGTTTATTAAAGAGATGCATTGTATTTTCATGCACAAAACCATTGTAGCATTCATATGGAGGAAAGCCCCAGAGAGAGCTGTCCATCTTACTTCCTGAGCGGCTTTGGACTTTAGTGATCAGACGGGAAAATGTGGGCACTGTGGGGAGGTGGCCATGGAAGAGGGAGGTGGGGTTGGAGGCATGGGGGTGTGGTGGGGGGTGGTGTTGGGGAAGTCAGGTACCAGCAGATCCTTGTCTGGCCTTCTGAGAATGTTCGGGGCCTGACTTGAACTTGCTACTACTCCTGAAATTCTAGGCTGCCTTCAAGGGTAGATGGATATTCATGTTTGCACATGTTCAATGCTCTGGATGTCCACTATTTGAATATTAATGCAATTGCATTCATTTAAAAGTTTCAGAATGTTGAAAACTAAATTCTTTAATAATGAGGGTCCACTCTACCAGAATTTCTTCAACTAGGCCTCTTTTGAAAGACTCAGATGCTCAGCTTTTAAAATGGATGTGTTATAATTATTTTCTCTCCAACTCTCTTAATCTACTTTTAGTATTTATGCTAGATACTAATCCTTAGTTTTCAGCTTTATTTTATTTTTCTTACTTTTCATTTTTGGACTTTCCTTTAGTCCCCAAGACAATTAATTTCTTTTTCATAGTACTGGTGAGATAAATATTTCTTTAATTAAGTAAGTTTATTTATACTGCTATCTTTTGGAAGAGGAGAAGACATAATTTGTATACCTTGCCAGCGCGTGAACACGTGCTCTGGTGAAACCGTGCTGTATTATCAGGTAAATGTTATGTTTTCTAAAAACAGGATCCTAGAATAAAAGGACATCGACATTTTCTTTCCAGTGAGCATCACATGAACAGTAGCACTCCTTTAAAAGTACCGTAGACTTAAGCGTTCCAGTAGAAGCAAGTGTGGCTTCGTTATCTCAAAACTGATGAACAATCATCAAAGCAATCAGGAAAATGGTTTAATAGTATTCTTTTTTTTCCTTTCAATGTTTAAGGTACAGGAAAAACAATGGTGATGGACATGTTTTATACGTATGCAGAAATGAAGAGGAAAAAGCGGGTTCATTTTCATGGTTTCATGCTTGATGTGCACCAAAGTAAGTTAATTATGTGGCAGCAGTGATTTTAATAGGCGAACAGCGCAGAATGCGTTTTCTTCTTTGAATGCATATGTAACAGTGGTTAGGAATTCCATTTCTCCGTACCGTAAGATTTGATGTGTTTTCATTTGTTTTGAAAGCGTCAGTGAGGCTCTTGGAGTTGGTCCGAACACCCAGAGGACTATGTCTGAATAAGAGGTTTCTAAATGGAGGCCAGGCATCTTCTAGTTCTACTCAAGAACAGTAAACACTCACTTGTTTCAAGAAGCTGTTCTTGGCTGGGTCCTTTAGCCGTGTCACCTTAGCAGGTGCCGATTTACATGGCACTTGTTTGGGTGCCTTATTGCTCTGTCAGCATCCACAAGCTGTCCGATTTCCATGTGGTCTACCAGCTAGACTGTGCCCTTCCCAGGAAGGAACATTATCATTCTCTCCCAATGCTGTCAGCATTTAGGACACATGTAATGAATGAAGTGGGGCTGCCGTTAGTGTATCAGGCTGGAGACTAAGGGAGCATCCTGGTGAGATATGCGAGACCTAACACGCAGCATCATGCCACCTCACGTCCACATCCCCACCCCCATTCCTGAAGTCCTCAGGACAGAGTTCGCTTCCTCCGCCCTGCTGCCTCTTGCTTCATCCCTGACGGTTGGAGCATGGAGGTGGGATGGGCCCCAGGTTCCCTTCCAACTGTGGGAATAAAATAACATTTGAATGATTTACTTAAAGGTAGAGAACATGTAACCAATTTTAATATTCAAATTTGATTGTATATTGAATTTAAACTTAATTTTTAGACCCATATCACTTTCATTTAGAGATTGAAGAAGTATAGTTGTCTAAAATATACTCTTTTTTATTTATTAAATCATTTTATTGGGGTCTCTTACACCTCTTATAACAATCCTTACAACAATTGTATCAAGCATGTTTGTACCTATGCTGCTATCATCATTTTCTGAACATTTACTTTCTATTTAAGCCCTTGGTTAAAATATACTCTTAAGATAATATTTGACTCGTGTTTCATTTCACCTCTTTAAGGAATACATCGCCTTAAACAGAGCTTGCCAAAGAGGAAGCCGGGATTCATGGCTAAATCATATGACCCCATAGCTCCTATAGCTGAAGAAATCAGTGAGGAAGCTTGTCTTTTATGTTTTGATGAATTTCAGGTAAGGTAGAGATTTCTCATCGATGTAGAATGGTATATTGAATGAAGTGAAAATCCAAATTCTGCCCCTGGTTTTGATCATCAGTTTATGAATTGTCACTCTTGTTTTTTGTCTAGTTTAAAAATCATCTATTGTGAATTGGGTAAAGGTGTACGGGTCCGCTTTCCACTGAACAACTCATACACTTGTTCTTTGTTGCCCTGGGTTGCTAACCCTTCCTGCCTTTGTCCTTGGGCAAATGCTGCTCTTTTTATCTCTCATATAGCACACAGTCTCGCATCACTTCAATTTTACTAACTATTCCAGCAGTCAGCAAACTGGCAAATCTGAACTGTACCTGTTTTATATGACCAGCGATAATTAAAAAAAAAAGTTAGAAAGAAAGAAGGCATGACACTGTATGTGCCAACTCATGGCGACCGCATGTCTCAGGGTAGACCTGTCCTTCATAGGGTTTTCAGTGGCTGAACTCACTCAGAAAGAGATTGATAGAGGAATGTGGGTTTGAACCACCAACCTCTAGGTTAGTAGTCAATTAGTCAAGTAGTCAATTTAACTGTGTGTGCCCCCTCCCCAAATTTCGGATGCATTATAAAGCCTAAAATATTTATTATTTGACTTCTTACTGAACAACAATTTTGTCTATTCATAAGTTCTAATTAATAGATTTATAATTCTCCTATACCAGAGATAAAATTTAATGATTGCAAAATAATGTTTTTAAAGACTTCGGGTTTTAAAAAAGGGTTCTATAAAACAACACATTATATTGTCTTACTATACAATGTATAATGCAATGAATATTCTTTATTGCTTGTAACAGCAAAAACAACATGAAGGTAAACTCTGTGTCTAACATTTATTATGTACCCTATTCCACGCCTGGTGTTCTAATATGAAATACTCTAGGTTAGGAATTAAGGAGCTCTGGTGCTGTAGTGGTTATTCATTGGGCTGCAATTGGAAAGGTCAGCAGTTTGAAACCATCCAACTTAATGGCAGTGTGTTTGGTTTGGAGGTTAGGAATTAACTTATTTATTTTTAAAGATCATTTTATTGGGGGCTCTTACAACTCTTATAACAATCCTTATATCAATTGTATCAAGCATATTTGTATGTATGTTGCCATCATTTTCTAAACATTTACTTTACATTTGAGTCCTTGGTATCAGTTCCTCTTTTATCCCTCCCTTCCCCCCTACCACCCTCATGATCCCTTGATACATTATAAATTATTATTATTATTTTCATATCTTACACCGACTGCTGTCTCCCTTCCTTCTCAGTTTCTGTTGTTCGTCTCCCTAGGGGTGTGGTGTGGTGTGGTTATGTGTAAATCATTGCGATCAGTTCCCCTCCTCCCCTCCTCTCCCTACCTTACCCGTACTCTTCTGGTATCCCTACTCCCATTTCTGTTCCTGAGGGGTTTATCTGACCTGAATTCTGTGTATCGTGAGCTCTTATCTGTGCCTGTGTACATGCTCCAGTCTAGCCTACAGTGGAAGGCAGGACTGGGGTCATGGTAGTGGGGGGTGAGGAAACCTCAAGGAACCAGAGGAATATTGTGTGTTTCATCGGTGCTATTCTGCACCCTTGTTGACTCATCCCTTCTGTGTGACCCTTCTATGAGGGGATGTCCCATTGTCTACAGGTGGGTTTTCGATCTCTGCTCCAACCTCTTGTTATCAACAATATGTTTTGGTTTTTTGTTTGTTTGGGGCCTTCTGATGCCTGTTACCCGATTCTGTTGACACCTCGTGATCACACAGGCTGGTGTGCTTCTTCCATGTGGGCTTGTTGCTTCTCTGCTGGATCACTGCTTATTTAACTTCAAGCCTTTAAGACCCCAGATGCTATATCTTTTGATGTATTTACATATGTACACACCTGTTTATACTTCTATCCATAGCTTTGCTTCCTAGATCTTTCCTGTTTCCTTTTACCTTCTTCCTGCCTTACCATCATGCTCACCCTTCTTCCGCCTCTTAGTAATTCCTCTCAGTTAGATTCCTGTTACTCCAACTCCCCGAGGACCTCTACGTCCTACTCATTGTTGACTTTAATTCCCTAGTTGTTCACCTGTCTATGATGTTGTTTGCTGACCACGCTCTTCCTCCACCTCCTCCTCCCTACAAGTCCCTCTGGAATCATCGGTTGCTTTCTCCTTGAGCTTGCTTCCATGCCTATCTTATGCAGGTAGGCAAACCAACAATAACGGAGACAAAACAAAAAGAAAAAGATTGATAAAAAAAAGAAAAAAAACACCCCAAAACTAGCAACCTACCCCCCCCCCCAAAAAAAAAAAAAAAAAGCATACACAATTCCAGGTCTGTCCGCTGATCTTTATGACTATTTCCCCACTGGTCCTGGGGGGTTCCGGGAACTGCTCCTCCTCGACTGAAGTCCATTTTTGGGGCTCCTCAGGGACTTTGTGGCTTTTCTTTGCTCCTGTTGCTGATGTGTTATATTCCCTTCTTGGGTCACTGTGGGGACCTTTTTAAAAAAATCAATCTTATTTTTTTAATAGTTCTGAACTTTGTTTTCCTATGATGCTTATCATAAAAGTGATTGATGATTGGAGTAGCGATAGAAAAAGTCCACAGGGACTGAATCTAAGCTTTAAAAAGGGGCCTCACACTCAATTTTTGAAAAATATTTTATAGGTGGCCTATAGAGCTCCTATTTCCAACTACCTCAAATAAGGGCCCAGAGAGCTGGTAAGGATAGGAGTTATCACTCTGTGGTTGGCCCTGGGTGATTCACACATCTCACTATAGCCTCATGACAGATCTCTGACAAAAGAATTACCCTTGTTGAACTTTATCCCAGTTTTAGGATTCTCTAAAATTATGAATTTAAATTGGGAGTGACTTTAAATTATTTCTTGCTTTTGTGTGTGTGTGTGTGTGTGTGTGTGTGTGTGACCGCTTTAAATCCTAGATTCGTGGGAAGATGGTATGGTCAAGATGCCTTTAACCCAAATTGTGTGTGAAGGTTCTCCTTTAGCAACTGAATAGATCCAGTCAACAACAATGGTGATTTATAAAGGGTGTTGGGGAAGAATTTCCACCAGGAAAGCCTCCTGAAGGGAGGAACCTTTGCTTCTTTCCCCATCATGTCTTACTTAACAGCCTGGCATTCTCCCTCTGTAGTAGAAGTGGCTCAGGTCTGCAGAGGAAAGGTTTATGGGAAAGAGTAGATGTCCCACTGCTGCTCCAAAGAGGTATACTCCATGTCTAACAAAAGAGAAGGACCTCATTTAGTTCTTCCAACATTTCAACTGAGTTAACAGTCTGCCTTCAAGAATAAAAGTCAGCCTTGTTGTCCATTACTAGCCTTTTAACCAAAATATCTCTAAGTAAAATTAAATTGTCATAATTCAACTTTTTATTAAGGCACTGAAATGTAAGAAAAATGTTTACCTAGTGTTTTTACATCCTTATTTTTTTAAATCCTATAGTTATTATCTTAAAGCATAATAACTTCCTAGGTATTATCCATTATTCTTAACTTGAAAAGAGGTAAAGGTCCCTTTGAACATGACATGTGTTTGTAATGTGTGAGCCATTGAAAGGCAAAACTATGTGAGAAGGTTAGGAAGCTATGAGAATCTGGCAGGTGATCCTGGAGAAGATATATAGAAAGCAGGGGTAACTTACCATCAAACACAGTAGGCACAATGCCCAGGGTCATGATACTTTCAGAGGCCCAAGAAAATATTTTAATGTAATTTTTTGTAACATTTGGGGGAAAATGAATATGTAAAGGATGAATATAGCATAATAAATTCAACTGGATTATATTTACTTTATATCAACACAGTCATAAGGTAAAATTATTTATGTACATATGCTCGTGTGCATATGTGTGTGTATGTATTTAAATGAGGTGTGTGTATTTAAATGAGAAAGGAACTCATTAAGGTGCAAAAGGGCCCAAGACCGATGGAAGTCCCAGTGTCACCCTGATAGTGGAGTCCTAATAAACCTGTCTGTCTACACTAGGCATGCTCCAGGGTATCAAGACACTAATATTCCCAACGAGCTGAGCTTTGCAAAAGAAAGGTTGCTTTTGCATACCATCCAGTGAATTCCAACTCCACAGTGCCCAGACAAGACCGAGTGGAACAGCTCCTCGGGTTTCCTAGGCTCTAATCTTTCTGGGGGCAGACAGGCTTCCCTCCCTCTGATTGGCTCATGGGATCATACTGCAGAATTTCTGGATAGCTGGCAAGTTCTTAACCCTTGCACCACCAGGACTCATTTTCAAGAAATACAAACAACCAAAAAGATTTTTCAAATGATATGTTAAGGATGAGGGAGATCAAGAGAAGCTCAGGCCTCCAGTTTATAAAATGTTGCTTGTGTACAAAACCAAACAGCTGTCTGTCATTGCCTGCTGCATCCAAAGAAGGCTCCATGTCCCTTAGTTCATTTGTTCCTCTACCCTAGTTGCCTTACAGAGCCTTATTCTGTGTCACACAATTTTAAATGTCCTCCAGATAAAGACTATGGCTAGACATCTGGTTTATGGGTTTGTCAGTAACCTAATGGGTCTGTGTGGTGTAGCCAGGGGCCTGGGCCAGTTAGATTTTCTCTCTCATGAATCTGAACTGAAAGCACAGAGGGATGTTCCCTAGTAGTACTGACTCAGAAACAAATTCATATGCATGTGAAGTCTGGACATTGGATAAGCAAGGCCAAACCAGAATTGAGGCATTTGAATGATGGTGTTGACAAAGAGTATGGACTATCAAGGACTGCCAGAAGAACAAATACATCTGTCTTGGAAGCAGTACAGCCAGCATACTTCTTTAACGGGAGGATGGCCAGACTTCATCTCATGTACTTTGCACATGTTTTCAGGAGGGACCAATTCCTGGAGAAGAAGAATATCATCCTTGTGAAAGACGGCCAGCAACAAAAGAGATGAGTTGGCACAGTGTCTGCAACAATAGGCTCAAACCTAGGAACAACTGTGAGAATGGTGAAGGATCAGAC